AGAAGAAAAAGAGTGATCAAAAGAAGAGTGAAACACTTGAAGTGAGGGAGAGCTATTTAGCCATAAAAAGTTAGTATAATGTTTGTTCTACATTCAATTTGTCAGACTTATCTCTTTTTAATGTAAATGCTGAATCCGATTTGAGGACAAATCTTTTTCAAGAGGGAGAGAATGATGTGAACATGACCTATATGATAAGGGCTAGAGCAAGGGAAGCAAATGAAGCTTTTCAACAAGGATTGTTGGTTGATCAAATTGTGTTTTGGATCAATCAATTAATGGGCTTTAGTTTGGTTTTATTGCAAGTTGTAATAAGGGCCCAATTGGAAATTTAGTTATCAGTCTTTGGGAGACCAAGAAGGTGTATAGCTGATTGACTTTTGGTTGCCACAATTTCAGTTACAATCAGTCATTAAGTAGTTTTCAATTCCTAGGTTAATTGATCATTATTATCTTTTATTTGTCTTCATTAAGTAGTTTTCAATTCTTAAGTTAATGAATCATTATTAGCATTTATTTTTGTTTATTGAATCTTTTTAATTCTGATGGCAAAGCTTCTATATAGGCTGAACCATTTTTATAAAAAATAACAAGTGGAATTTTACTTAGAAATATTATAGTTTATCTCTTTTATCTTAGTGGGAGTGATTCTCCTAAATTCTTGAGTGATTCAAGAACCTTTGGGCTGTATCAAAGGACTTTCACATCCTTTGTGAGTTGCTTTCCTTGGGAAGAGTGATTCTTTCCTTCCACCTCATCACTAAATTCCTAAATTTCTTACAAGGTTCTAACCCTAAAGATCCTAAATCATCTCTTGTGCTATTGAGATTCATATCATCTTGATACTAAATAAGTGTTGGTGTCCAAGTCAAACAATTTACATCCTTTATTTCCATGTGGGTAGCCCATAAAAACACACTTTTTGCTTCTATAATCAAATTTATCTTCCTTCCTTCCTTGGTTATGAGCGTAACATAGAGACCCAAAAACTCTAAGATGATCATAGGAAGGTGGTTTCCCATTTAGTACCTCATAAGCAGTTTTTCCATTCAGCAAAGGTGTTGGTGTCCTATTTATCAAATATCCAGTAGTCAGAATACATTCACCTCAAAAGGAAATAGGTAGACTACCTTGAAACCTCAATGCTCGAGCCATATTGAGTATGTGTCTTCTATGTTTCCTTTCAACTCGTCCATTTTGTTGAGGCCTTCTAGTGCATGATGTTTAAAACACGATTCTACATTCAAGAAATTGTGTTCTCAAACATGTAAATTTCGTTTCATTATCGCTTCGAATCATCTTAACCTGTTTTTCATATTGTCTCTCTATTAAAGCAATAAGGTTCATTAAGGCACGAGGAGCTTCCTTTTTATCTAATAGCAAAAAAATCCAAATTGCTTGAGAACAATCATCCATTATAGTTAAAAAATAAAAAGCACCACATGAAGAAGGAGATTTATAAGGTCCCTATAAGCCATAATGAATCAATTGAAACACACTGGCATCTTTATGATTGCGTAAAGAAAAATTATCTCTAGTTTGCTTAGCCCTTTGGCACACATTGCATGCCTTATTTCTGTAATTATTATTCTTGCAACTAGTATTTGAGACTAACTCAGTAATCTTCAAAGAGGGATGCCCCATTTGCCTATGCCAAAGATCAAGTGACATCAGAACGTCAAATTTGAAGGCTTTCTCATGACAAATTCCTCTGAAATAGTAGAGCTCATCTATTTGTTCACCCAATCCAATCAGTGTCTTCGAAGTGCGGTCTTACATCACACACAAAGAATTAGTGAACTACACTATACAGTTCATCTCGTCTATCAACTGGGTTACAAATATCAAGCTACGGAGTTTAATTTAGGCACATATAACACATTTATTTTCAACCTTCCTTCAGGTGTTGTTGTTCCCTTCTTAGTTGCAACAACTTTTTGTCCATCTGGAAGTCACACGAGACATCCTTGTACATTCTTCAATTCTTGAAGTAATTTCAAGTTTCCTGTCATGTGGTTGGAAGCCCCCCCTGTATCAATGATCCAAGTTTCTTTACCTGCCATTCTTTCATTGGCATTTCCCTTGTCATTGTTTTGTGCTCAACCTCATCAGACCTCCCTTTTCTACCTCTATTGTTGGCTCATGTGCTCTTTCAACAACTACTTTAGCAACATTTGTGTTGAGAATCTAAGTGTGACTCTAAGTCCCACATTGTGTAGGGATGAGAAAGTTAAGTAACATATAAGGAAGTATGACACATAACCTAATGTCTTAAGGTTTTGGGTTGAAAGTAGTGTCAATCCCTTATGTGGGTTAGACTCATGTTTCATTGGTGTTGTGTTTTCCTTGTGAATCCCCCCTCGAAAGACCCAACAAGTGGTATTAGAGTCGAAGATTGATCGACAGTGTGACAGAGTGGTCTTTGTATCGAAAGTCTTCCTGATAGAGTGGGTCAGGTAAGCATTATTGAGAATCCAAGTGTGATTCTAAGTCAATAATGGTCTTTGTATAGAAAGTCTTCCTGATAGAGTGGATCAGGTAAGCATTGTTGAGAATCCAAGTGTGATTCTAAGTCTCACATGGAGTAAGAATGAGAAAGTTGAGCAACATATAGGAAAGTATGACCCATAACCTAATGCCTTAAGGTTTTGGGTTGAGAGTGGTGTCAATCCCTTATGTGAGTTGGACTCATATCTCATTGGTGTTGTCTCTCCCCAGTGAATCCTCCTCGAAAGATCCAATAAGTGGTATCAGAGTCGAAGGTTGATTGGCAAAGGGTCAGAGTAGTCTTTGTATCGAAAGTCTTCTTGATAGAGTGGGTCAGGTAAGCGTGTCCCGTTAGAGTGAACGACGGTACATAGAAGGGCTATGATGTACCAATATGGAGGAATTCACACTTGAATGGGAGATTGTGTGTGATTCTAAGTCCTACATTGTGTAAGAATGAGAAAATTGAGCAACATATAAGGAAAAAAAGACCCAACAAGTGGTATCAAAGTCGAAGGTTGATCGACAGTAGGGAATGAGTCAGGTAAAGCATGTCCCATTAGGGTGAACGATAATACATGGAAGGGTCATTAGTGAGCTTGAGGGGATATATCAATGTGGAGAAATTCACACTAGAGAGAGATTGTTGGGAATCCAAGTGTGATTCTAAGTCTCACATTGTGTAAAAATGAGAAAGTTAAGCAATATATAAGCAAGTATGACTCATAATACAATGCCTTAAGGTTTTAGATTAAAAGTGATATCAATCATTTGTGTGAGTTGGATTCATATCTCATTGGTGTTGTCTCTTCCTAGTGAATCCCCTCAAAAAATCCAACAAGTGGTATCAGTCGAAGGTTGATTGACAGTGAGTCAGAGTGGTCTTTGTATCAAAGATTTGATCAAGTAAGTGTGTTTTGTTAGAATAAATGACGATACATTAAAAGACTACTAATATAATAGTGAATAAATGTACTACAAATCCTTAAACATATGGTAATAAAGATTATGCGTATAATACAAAATATTTATGCAAACATTTTATTTCCTATATATTAAAAATTTCATCTTTTACTATTTAAGTATTCTTGATTTATATTTTCTATAATTATAGTGCTGGTAAAAATTGTTTTATAAATATAATATAATATTAGGTTATTATTAATTATAAACTATTAATTTTTATAATTGTTATCGGTAAATTATACTTAATTAATTAGAATTTAATTATTATTGTGTAAATTTTTACATTAATAATACTTAAAAATAAAATCATATTTTGTAATGGTAAGAATTTGTTCTTTTAAAATTTAGGAGTAGAGAGAACCCAATTCTGTAAAACACGCGTTCCTTAATATTTGATTGCAAGTCACTAACATGCAATGCACTCACTTTTTTCTTACGCGTGATGATGACTAAGAGCGTGTTATTTTATTCAGAATAATTTGACCGGAATCGGAATACGTAAATGTGTAATCGTGTAACGTGTTTGGTGTCTTTTGTACGTAGTTTTGTTTTGGTCTTAATAATTTCATATGAAAATTTAAATGATTAAAATTTAAACATAAATGCTTTCATGAGAAAATTATTTCAATTAAATAAATTTTATAAAATCCAAATTATTTAAAAAAACAATTTTTAATACTGACACCCATATATGATTATTTGTTTTAAATACTTCCTTCTTGTTGATTTTATTATTTTTTCAGATTCAGAAAATTATACAGGAAAACAATTTTTTTAATTGGATATACTCTTTTATAATAAGAACTCACGTCGGACATAGAATATGTATATTTTAAAACTAGTATTAGTAGTTTTCATAATTTGTTAATGCTTTCGAGAAAATGGAAAAGGTCAATTGTAAAAGATGATGCACTTTAGAAAGATAAGACTTTTCAATTTCTTAATTTAAAATAAAATGTGGTGATGTGAGAATCATTCTAATTTTAATTGTAATTTAGTAAATTAAAATTATAGAATGTTATCTAATCACATCTAAATCAAAATTACACCCTAGTTAACTGGTAAATTAAATATATAAATAAACCAAATGAATCAATCAATGATTGCAACTTTGAAAGAAATGTTCAAATTCTGATAAAAAAGTTGCAGAAAATTAAGACAAGAACGATTAACAAAGCTTAAAGACAGTCTGGGAATTGGAAATGGTAGTTGGAAATAGGTTGGAAACCGTCACAGAGACAACTATGTCTCTCTCAAACTCTAACTGACATGTGTAAGAAACAGAACTATTTCATTCACACTTATTAAGTTATTAGTACCAAATAATTCATTAATTTCTATTTTTGTCTCTCTTTTCTTACACTATTTGTTTATTGAGAAATAAATTGTTGTTCCCCGTTACTTAAAAGTTACGTCCCACACCGTCCAAGGCTGTATAATACTCCAAACATACAACAACAACTGTTCCTTCTGTCTATAAATACATTGTATTAGCTCACACAAACACAACAACTTAACACTAACCCTATTTGTTGGTTGAAGATGGGTTACACCGCAGTTAAAGTGTTTGTGATGTTTGGGCTTTTGGTTACCGCATGCGTAGCGCAAGCTCCTGGGCCTGCACCCACGCAACCACCATCAAGAACCCCATCACCACCGCCACCACCACCATCCACGTCAGCACCTGCTCCATCACCGGCGGCAAAGACGCCTCCTTCACCAGCACCAGCAACACATGCTCCTTCAACTCCTCCACCAAGCTCTTCTTCTCCCGCGCAGGCCCCAAGCCCAAACACCTTGTCCCCTCCCGCACCAGGCCCAGCTCCTGAGGAACCTGCCTCCGAGCCTCCCTCCGCAGCATTCTCCATAAGCAAGGCCTCCATTGCTGCCATGGCTCTTGTTGGAACCTTCGTGGCTGTGGCTTTTGCTTGATTACAGTAACTCTTCTCACATTTTCCCTTTTGATTATGGTTATGATTAATCCACCTTGGAGGCTGATTTGGTCGCTGTTGAGTCACTCTTTAATTATCTTCTCATGTTTTTTCGTTTGTGTTGGCTCTTTGCTACATACTTTGGTGATTCTTTGTTTACCACTTTCATTCTTGTATCTAGATGAATGTAAAAATGCTTCATTCTTTTGCTCTCATAAATTTCCTTCTTCTCTACCACCACATATACAACAAAATAATTATTTTAAATTGCAGTTGATTGCGATCATTAATCATTATTATATCAGAAATTGTGTAAATTGAAATTTACTCCACAAAATAATTGTTATTATTGAATATTAAATTAGAGTGGAGTTGATTTTTCTCATTTATCGAGACCTTAAGCGAAACACTCTCCTCTAATCATAGATCATGTTAGGATTCTTTATATTTTTCAGCTCAAGTGAAGATTTTCAATGATAATTCCAAAATACAATAAACTTAATTTTGTTCAAAAAAAATTGATTGATTTTTCAATGCAATAAAACGCTAATTACGTTTTTTTTCTTCAAATAAATTATATTATATCAATATTTGTTTTTAGAGTATAAGTAACACTTGTAACCCATTTATTAAGAAACCAATATTATCTTAATAAATAAATAATTTATTGTCATTTTTATATAATATATATATATATAAATTAAAAATAGAAATTAAAAAAATCTAAAATATTAATATATATATATATATATATATATATATTTATTTATTTATTTATTTATTTATTTTGGTACACTCATACTTCGTATCGTTTAGAGTAAAAAGATGAGTAATTTATATATCTTTTCTTCTATTAATTCATAAGACATTTTTAAAAACAAAATCTAGACTAAAACTCCGAACCAAAATATACCTCAAATATATATATATATATATATATATATATATATATATATATATATATATTATTTTTCATATATGTCATGATAACAATTATTTTACAGCACACAAAATAAGGATAATTGGATTTGAACAAAACATAAATTATTTGTAAATCATATTTTTGCGGCATAATATTTGGTCTACTAGTTAATAATTTCAAATGTGAATTTTATATATCCTCTCCTTTCCAAAATTGTCCTCAATTTCAATTTTGTATATATTATCTATCCTCTTTTCCTCATTTTTTTTTTTTAATGCTCGCAGCTTTTTGTATCAGTTATTTCAAGATTTATTTTGTAACTTTCGTCTAATTGTTCAAAGCTTCATTTTATACTTTCAGGACCAGGAGAAACTTTCAGGATGAAGCATATTTTTGTAATAAAAATATGAAAAAAAATCTTTTTAGTCTGAATAAACTTTATTTTATTCAATTGTTCAAGTGAAAAATTGGAGGCGTGTTTGGTGGGTATATATATAAGGGATGCTAGGTTATGGACATGGGAACTATACATTTATATTATTGCGAAAAAGAATAATATTAAATAATATCTACATGAAGACACTTCAATATTTAATTATCATGCGAATATAAATCTAAATATAATAAAAGAAAAGTTATAAAAACGTATATGTAAAAGAATAAAATAATTCTATTTATAAAAATTTTATTTAAATTGTAACTTATAAGTATTTATTTATTAATTTATTATTTAAGTAATAATTTATATTTATTTAATATTAATTATTATTTTATAATATGATATTTATTGTGTATTGTTATCGTGTATTTTTATTTAATATAATAAATATCATAACAATCTGGATAAATTTGTATTTTTATTTTCTTTTTGTGGTTGTAGTGTGTTGGACATTAACCTTATCTTTACATATACAAATGTGTTTGTTTTCAAAACAAATTTTCAACAAGATAGATTTTAAGGTTTTCATTATTTCTTCGTGACATTATTGGTAGTCATAAAAAATTACAACACTATTATTCATATTCACCACAAATTTATTTATATTTTATAAGATTTTCGTAATTTAAAAATTATACTTACGAATGTTTAAGTATTTTAGACATTCGCTATTATAATAGTAATTTATTATAGCTTACGAAAGTGTTTTATAATTAACTTTAACTAAATTCATTTAAAATTGAAATAAAAATATCCATATAACCGAATATTAAAAACTATTTAAATATATTTTACAAATTCAATATCGACACATGATTAGATATATTTGTGTATTAAACACATATAAATAACTCTATTGACAACATTTATTGTGACCATTATTCAATCTACTAGTTTCGCCTCTACCATATTTCACATATTTGATAATCGTGAGGTAGATTTCTTGTATTAGAATATGTTTAAATCTTACATGCTTAACAGAATACAAGTGATTGTTTCGCTAATATTAATCATCTTTTTAATTATTATTCTTTTAATTGCGTTTAATACTTATGGATTTAATGGAGACTAATATGATAAGGAATAATCTTTAAAGGGTCGAATTTTAAGAAATATATGAATTTGTACTCTCATATAATATTTTTCCAGTAACTTAAAATAAAGGAGAGAATATAGTGGTAAATTATATAATGTAATGTATATTGATTAATAAATAAGATTATAAAATAAAAGGAAAATTATTTTTGTTTCCGAACACCCTATAAACATGATGATAGAGTATTTTTAATTTGAAATTTAACAATAAAGTGCTTTCCTAATTATTATTATTTTCATTTTGGTGGGTATCAACTGAGTGTTTTCATATATTTAGGTATGCGTTGATTACTGCTCAAAATAAAAAGAGTAATATTAAAAATATATATTCATTTTTATAGTTTAAATATCTGCTAGTTATTTCACATGATTTTAATTTAGAAGCTTAAGATGATATCAAAATCAAAATCTAATTTTCTTTCTATTATTATTTGGGCCAAAAATTAACCATCGAAAACATGGATATAACAAATTTCAAATAAATTTCAAGCAATACTTAATGAATGCAGCATGCAAAAAGTTTAATGGCAAACAACATTTTCAATCCTTGGAGGAAAAAAGGGGAAGAAGGTCGCATGATACTTACATACTATATTTATCAAATAATCATATACACAGAAGCATCGCAGGCAAATCTTTGAAAATTTGGTACATTATTAGTACTATAACTTAATGATTTTCAACCAAAGGTACGTGGGTTGTTTGGGAACCCAGTTATTGACATATATGTCTCATCATTTTACCAACCATAAATAATTAGCTCACCACTGATTTTCAACCTTTTCTGCTACTTTAAGTTTGACCACTTCTCTCAAGCTCTGCAGATAAACCAAAAGAAGCAATGAAGAACTGAATCAATATATTTATGATTGGGACGCATTTATTGAATTAGGGAAAAAAGTTTTGGACGTGAGAGAGCACCTTTGTTCTACACCTTTCCACCCCCTTTGGCCCAGTTAGCTTTATGTTAGTTCACATATATTCTCGTGGGGTTGGGGTACCTAATAAAGAGGACAATTCAATAAATAAACATCATGAAGGTGACACTCATAATTAATTTAGCCGCCAGATCTACTAATTTTATGATCAACATTTATTATTAGTATAGTTAATCATGTGAAACTATTTTAACGTTTAGCCTCCTTTGGTTTGTATGACCTGGAAAAATAGAATACTTTAAAATTTTCTTAATGTTATCATCATTTTATTTCTCTTTTTTTTATATAATTGCCATGTTGCTACTGTTGTCCATCGTTAAGTGAATAGAATATGAACCATAACTCTCCTCATAATATAACAAGACTAGGTTTAAGGTTAGAATCTGCTGAAATGAAGTTTTTTACAAGTACTTGCAGTAAAAAAAACGCGAAATAAATTTAACCTTTTTCATACACCCATGACAAAAAGACTATGCTACATCGAAATCTCTTTTTAAACAAAAGTGCTGGTCAGAAGACAAGCAAAGAACAGATAGGTTCAGTCGTAAAAAAGCGTTCAAATATTTACAAAAAGATGCAGAAAGAGTAGAGCATATAAATGTCCACACTAAGAAACAAAAGTGAAAAGGAAGAAGGAAAGGTGAGGGGAGAAGAAGGCAACGGGTAACTGTTAAGTTAAGTTAAGGTGGAATGGAACAAGAGTGTGTGTTCTCTTTATCAACTTCTTGTACGTTAATTGGTGTCTCCAACATGGAGAGGAGGAACAGAGTGACCCCACACAGAGAGAAGAGAGAAATGTTGTGTTGTGTTGTGATGGAGAAGTATGCATGGAGGAAAAGCTGAAAGAGACTATGAATGGGGAAAAGCGTCGGGGGCAGCGATAGCATGGTCCTTTTGTGGCTCATGATTGGTACAGTTCATGGGATGGAATAAAGGGTTTTGGCTGTGATGAGAAGAAGAAGACGCAGGCAGCACATGCACAGCATGCACCACCCATGTCACGCCATCGCTCTTTTCCTCTGCAGGCTTTGTTTGTGTCCTCTAATGCTTACAAAATTTAAAGGAGCACAAAAGGGATTTTAGGAGACAAATAGTGATAACTCCAACGACTAACCATTCAAGAACGTAGAATAGAAGGTATTCCCTGGTTTTAGGTTTTGGCAATTTCCTATGTGAAGCTTCTGTCATGCCCTTGGGGCCCCCACAAAATTTTTTGGCTATTTTCTTGCATGAACTTATCATGTTTTAATGTCTTATTTTACTACAAACTACGTTAAATGTTATTTACATCTTCCCACACAGAACAGATCGCCTGTATATCTTTATCGTGCTTTGTGTTTTTTTCGTTTCTTTTTCCTTTATGATTAGCTCATTATCGAAATTCGAACCACTTTTATTGTATTTCTTTCCTGTTTTCTCTATTCTACCCCACTTTTATCTCCCTTTATCCCAGATAATAAACTTAAGTGATTCTTTTTATGAAAAATAACCAAATTAACATTATTTTCTTTAATCATAATATTGATATAAATCATTTATAATGGGAAGTAATGACTAATAATGCCACACAAGAAGTTATTCTTCTCCCAACATAATTTATTTCAAAATGTAGATAATTTGGTTAAAGGACATATATAAACATTATATATATATATATATATATATATATATATATATATATATATATAACAATTTAGGTTGTAATTTAATTTAGTGTCGTTATTAACAAACAAATATTGTCGATTTTAATTTGTACATTATGTAATTTATAAAACCAACGACGTCAATTCTATACATGAAATGGTTACAATTTTGCATTTTTGAAAATTGATGGACTTAATTAAACATAAAAAAAATTATTGTTGTATTTTTATTGAGGGACTTGTTTAAATCTTTATTAATAAGACAAACAAAAAGTAATTAAGCCAAAATTATAATATTTGGTGAGTTTATTTATATTTATATATTTTTAATAAAATAAGTATATTTATGCTTTTTATAAATATGTTTGCTTAATATAATAATTTAAATATATATATATATATATATATATATATATATATATATTAAAAAGTAAATCCTATAAACTTCATAAATAAGTGATTTTTTAAAATTACTTACTTTAAAACACTTATTTTGATTTTTTTATATTATTTATACAATATTAAATCCTATCAAGTTATCAAGTTATACATATATGCTAGCTAAATGATATTTATATTATTTATACAATATTAAATCCTATCAAGTTATCCATATATGCTAGCTAAATGATATGAATCTCAATTGCATAAGGGGTGATTTAGAATCTTTAGGATTAGAATCTTGTAGGAAATTTAGTGATAAGGTGGAAGAAAAAAATCACTCTTCTCAAGAAAACAACTCACAAAAAATGTGAAAGTTCTTTTATACAACTAAGGGTTCTTAAATTACTTAAGAATTTAGAAGAATCACTCTCACTAAAATAAAAGAGATAAACTATAATATTTCGAATAAAATTTCACTTGTTATTTCGATAAAAATAGTTTAAGATTCATTAAAGAAAAATAAATACTAATAATACTTCATTAACGTAGGAATTGAAAACTATTTAATGACTGATTGTAACTAAAATTGTAACAATCAAAAGTCAATCAGTTATGCACCCTATTCCCAAAAGCTAATACCTAAGTTTCCAATTGGCTCCTTATTACAACTTTGAAACAAAATCAAACTAAAGTCCATTAATTGATTAATCAAAAACATAATTTGGTCAACCAATTTCACAAAGGATTGAACTATTATTTAAATAAACTTAAAGACTGAAACAAACTGACGTATTAGTCCTTCTCCATTTTGGTTATGATGTAATTCACAACTTTGGTCTTCTCTCATTGAAATGTAGGATGAGTTTGTATTCAAATAATATGGACAATACTTGTTGAATAATTTCCTTTGTTTCTCTTACTTTAGCCTTTGTCATAGGTCATGTCTTCATCATTCTCTCCCTCTTAAAAAGGATTTGTCCTCAAATCGGATTCGTCATCTACATAAAAAAATAGATAAGTCTGACAAATTGAATGTAGAACTAACATTATACTCACTTTTTGTGACTAAATAGTTCTCTATCACTTCAAATGTTTCACTATTCTTTTTATCACTCTTTTTCTTCTCAAGTGTTTCAATAAAACTTTCTTTTTCTCTCTTCTCTTGAAGAAGTTTTTCTCTCATTTTCTTTTTATCCTCAAACCCTTAAACTGGAGCTCTGATACCAAATGATATGAATCTCAATTGCACAAGGGGTGATTTAGGATCTTTAGGGTTAGAATCTTGTAGGAAATTTAGGAATTTAGTGATAAGGTGGAAGGAAAGAATCACTCTTCCCAAGGGAGGCAACTTACAGAGGATGTGAAAGTCTTTTGATACAGCCAAGAGTTCTTGAATCACTCAAGAATTTAGGAGAATCACTTTCACTAAGATAAAAGAGATGAACTCTAATATTTCTGAATAAAATTTCACTTGTTATTTCTGATAAATATGGTTCAGCTTATAAAGAAGTTTTGTCATCAGAGTTGCAAAGATTCATTAAAGGAAAATAAATGCTAATAATAATTCATTAACCTAGGAATTGAAAATTACTTAATAGATGATTATAAATGAAATTGTGACAACCAAAAGTCAATCAGCTATGCACCCTCTTGATCTCCCAAAAGCTGATATTTAAGTTTACAATTAGGTCCTTATTACAACTTTGAAACAAAATCAAACTAAAGTCCATTAATTGATTAATCCAAAACATAATTTGGTCAACCAATTTCACAAAGAATTGGGTCATTATTTAAATAAACTTAAAGACTGAAACAAAGTGACGCATTAGTGTTTCTCCATTTGGGTTATGATGTAATTCACAACTTTGATCTTTTCTCCTTGAAATATGGAACGAGCTTGTATTCAAATAATATGGACAATACTTATTAAATAACTTCCTTTGCTTCCCTTACTCTAACCCTTGTCATATGTCATATTCTCATCATTCTCTCCCTCTTGAAAAGGATTTGTCCTCAAATCGGATTCGTCATCTACATAAAAAAGAGATAAGTCTGACAAATTGAATGTAAAACTAATATTATACTCACTTTTTATGACTAAATAACTCTCTCTCACTTCAAGTGTTTCACTCTTCTTTTTATCACTTTTTTTCTTCTCAAGTGTTTCACTAAAACTTTCTTTTTCTCTCTTCTCTTGAAATTTTTTTTCTCTCATTTTCTTTTTATCCTCCTCTGTCATCACAAATTTGACGTTCAAACCCTTAAACCGGAGCTCTGATACCAAATGATATGAATCTCAATTGCACAAGGGGTGATTTAGGATCTTTAGGGTTAGAATCTTGTAGGAAATTTAGAAATTTAGTGATAAGGTGGAAGGAAATAATCACTCTTCCCAAAGTAGGCAACTCACAAAGGATGTAAAAATTCTTTGATACAACCAAAGGTTCTTGAATCAATCAAGAATTTAGGAGAATCAATCTCACTGAGATAAACTCTAATATTTCTGAATAAAATTCCACTTGTTATTTCTGATAAAAATGGTTCATCTTATAAAGAAGCTTTGTCATTAAAGTTGTAAAGATTCACTAAAGGAAAATAAATGCTAATAATGATTCATTAATCTAGGAATTGAAAATTATTTAATGGCTGATTGTAACTGAAATTGTGACAACCAAATGTCAATCAGCTATGCACCCTCTTGGTCTCCCAAAAGTTGATACCTAAGTTTCCAATTGGGCCCTTATTACAACTTTGAAACAAAATCAAACTAAAGTTCATTAATTGATTAATCTAAAACATAATTTAGTCAATCAATTTCACAAAGGATTGGATCATTATTTAAATAAACTTAAATACTGAAACAAAGTGACGTATTAGTCATTTTCTATCTGGGTTATGATATAATTCACAACTTTAGTCTTTTCTCGTTAAAATATGGGTTGAGCATGTATGTAAATAATATGGACAATACTTATTGAATAACTTCCTTTACTAGTCTCTATCATAGGTCATGTCTTCATCAAGTATACAGTATCGAAAAGTTCATCCATATTTATTTCCGTCAACATAATAAGTGTGACAAATTAACAACCATATGACCAACTAATACACATCTTAGGATACATTTGTTCTAACAGTTGTCAAGTTATTTTGAGAAACGAATATATTTTTTTAGTAATTTCATTACACGTACATTGAAATTTTATTTTCTTTTTAATTTTACACAAACTTCCTTTTTATTTTTTAAAATATACATTATCAGATTTTTTTTACGCATATACCCTCTTAAATTTAAAAACTAAGGAAATGTCATTATATTATAGTATGAACATTTAAATAAGATGCTACGATGTATTAAGACCATTTTAAAATAAAAAATCCACTTAAAAAAGCTTATTATTTAATAATAAATGAAAATTATAAAGTTATAAATGGAATTCGTTAGTATAATCTTTGTCCAACAAAAGTTAAACTTTAATAATAAATCACTATGTTTAGATTTGGCTTTAAAATTTATGAAAGAATTCTTTGAACAAAGTATTTTAGGAATACTTAGGAAGAATTAATGACGAGAGAAAAATGATGAATAAAAATGACAACATTTCCATTTCATTTGTTAATTTGAACAAGTGTGGAGTAGTTATCAACAATTGTCTTTAGCTAACAAAAGCGTTTCATAGCCACAACATTTGAGGAATATCTATCATTAATCATTCTACAATAAACCATCTCTATTGGCGTCTATTAGTTTGAGTAGAAAATACTCAAATTTGTTGGACACGTGATGTGATTTTCTGATTTTGATTACGAGAGAGGGAAAAAAAAATATCCTTGGATCCACTCTCAACCATGCCCAATTACAAGATCTGAAGAGAATGAAGAAACAGTAAATTTGTTAGGAAAATGGTAGGAACAGAACTGAATCTTAAATAGGAATATTGTTATAAGTAAATTTATGGAGGGAGAATAATATTTAAGATGTGGAGAGGGAAGGGAAGGGAAGGGTGAGTGTTGTTGGAGAGGTCCCGTTGGAGATTAAGAACTGGGCAATGGAGGGTCCCAACGGTCGGTTGGTTACCGGTTGGGGTGACACCGATAGAGACCCGTTCACAACGGCGTTTGTGGCTATCCTCTCACTTCTCACTATCACTCCCCCTCTTCCTCTTTTACCCCTCCCTTTTCCCTTCAATCTCCCAAATGCCACTCACCCACCCAACATTGCCAGACACTCCATCACCCAACACCTTGTCTGCGTGTCCGCTTCTACTTGGTGCTGTTCCGACTCTCGTGCCTCTTTTTTTATTTCGTAAACTCGCATGATATTTCCTCAACGTCCAACTCTACATTAGATGATGTAAACTCGCATGATATCTCGCAATGCATGAACTTAAACTAATCCATTGAATTAATCATAGCTAACGCGTAATGGAATAAAGATGCAGCAAAATTGGGTTTAGAGTGGAATATATGAGGTGGGGTTCTTAAAGCTAGGATTGATGAAGCATATAATTAAATACCCTCTCTCCACTGTTACTTTTTTCTAATAATTGTGCCAACAAAAATTGATATATGTGAGTTCAGCATTGAACAAATCATAGTGACACATCACTAGATGGAACCAATCATGAATATCAAACCCTCGTAACCCTGTTTTTCCTTTTCTGTTTCCTACCAATAAAGGGTCCACTTCCATCCATCTCATATCATCTCACCGATTCCACAAAATAAAAAAATCACACTTCATTGCCTCTTTCGTTACCATCCTAAGCCAAAATATAAGACAACCATCAACTGCCAGATTAACACATTCTAACCTATTACTCAACACTTGCAGCCAAAGTTCCCAGCCAGAAAAACTAAACACAACCAACTTATAGTTTCACCCAATAATTAAAAATCTACATCTCTCCTGCACCAACATGGAACAACACCCTTCAGTTTTTCAAACTTTTAAGTCATGGTTTCAATCTCTTGGACCATTCGCAATGAATGAAAATGAAGGCTCATCTCCGAGACAAACCAAAAACTTAAAGGGGTGAAAAAAAGGAATGGCAATTTTGTTAATTTTGCATTACTTAGGGGTAATCTCTTACTCACACTCGTTGATGAAATTAATGTTTATATTATATGAATGGAGGATATCCATTGGAATTGAGAAAGGCACATTTCCTTTCCTTTTAAGCAGTTGACAAAATACCTAAACTAAAATATCACTTTAAATACATTTTATATTTTCTTATTCTTTTTTATTTATTAATATCTTATTTCAAAGTACATTTTCTAATATAAAAATACAATCTATTTTTAAAAGTTAACTCAAAATAGTTATTTAGTTTATTGTTTCATGTAAGTCAAGTCATATCAATTTGGTTTCATTCAATTCAATTTTTCTCTCTCTCTATGTATATATATATATATATTTGACAACCCTTTGAATGTTTTGTGTGGAGAGAATTGTAACCTGTTGCAGATGAAAATAAAATAGTGTTTGACTAAAACAATAGGAGAGGCTGCTTCAAAGTAAAAAAAAAGGAAAAGAAAAATGGAATTTTGCAGTGGCAATGATGAGAAGGAAGGGCACCAGTGGCGCAGGATAAGCACATGGAGATTGCCTTTAGAATTGCACGCTGTCTCCGTAGTAAAAAGAAAACACAGTGCCTGTAACATCTTTTTTTTTTTTCTTCTTCCTTTTTATTATTATCTACACCGTCGTCTTCTTCTACCAAGTTACAAAGCATAAAACAAGAATAATAAATAATAGGGTTGCAGAATTTCCTAGGTCAAATTTCTCAATCGATGATTCGCGCTTTCATTATTCAGTATATATTCTTATTACAAACTTTTCTTTGAATTTCTTCATATGAAATGTATCAAATAAAAAAACAGATACATTTAATGAGTATTTTGTTTTATTATGGATTCTCCCTATATTTTAACCTTCACAACACTCGTTCGTAAATGTCTAATAAATGTAAAACACGTTTAATACATGTTATATAGGACTTTTTTAAAGAAATCTTTAAAGTAATTGGAATTTTTTTAAGAAAATACCTTTTTAGTTAAATATAATAAAACAAACAAGCTTTTGTGCTAATTTTTTTTTAAATCATTCAATACTACTAATCACGTTTTAAAATACATTATTTAAATATATTTAATTAGAATTTGAGATCAAAGATTAAGAGAAAACATTATCACTAATTAGAATTAAAGTATATAATTTGTTTATAATTGAGTCCAAGTTTTTTTTTTCTTATTATATACATGTATATATAATCATATAATCTCAGCCTAAATGTGGAGGAATTTGCATTTCCCTTTTGTCCTTTGTCTCTAAAATCTTCAATTACGTTTAAATTTGTGTTTGTAGTGTTAGATGCTGCTCCCAGTTTATGTTGATTGATCATTATAGAGATTTAAGAACACTCTTCTTTGCGTAATTTTTCACATACACGGTCTATCAATGATTGAACATTATACTTTATAAGTACTGGAAAAATTACGCAGGTATCATCTATTATTTGAAGAATGTATTTATTTATTTTTTGCAAATTTCAATCAATAACGAAAATTGTTCTTCTGAATGAATGTGATAAAAGTTGCGTTCCTGTTTTCCATATTTGTTGTGACATCTAAGTTTTCTCCTTATTTAAACTGCTTTGTATTATTTCTTCTCGTAGCAAGCCCCTTGGTTTTCTTTTTACATTGGAACTTCATATTCTCTCTCCCCTCCAACATAACTTCTTCATCTTTTCTTTTTTCTTTTTCTTTCTGCCTAAAGTTCTTCAAGCCTTCTATTGAGGCTCCTGAAACTTTATCAGTTTTGTTGTTTCACTTTCCACTTGGGAAGTGGGAAAATCTATTGAAGGCAAATATAATGGAAGAGCATTTCATGTAGATGCTCTTCCACTTTCTGCTCTATATGCACTCTGCTTGTGTTTTCTGCAGTTCTGAATTATGCGATTAACAAGTCCAGAGTAATACATGATTTAGCATAACAGAAATTGATACACAGTCATGAAGTTTATGAAACTGGGATCTCGTCCAGATACCTTTTACACTGCAGAGTCTGTTAGGCAAGGCAGAGATTGATCAATTTCATTGCTCATATTCGTAGATGATGTATCAGCTTTCAGGTGTGTAACATGAGTTCCTTCCTTTTCTTTGTATGCAGGACAATCTCTTCTGAAGTTTCAAGTGACGTCATAATTCAAGTGAAAGGAACTAGATATCTTCTTCACAAGGTTTGCTCCTTGAAACTTTTATGTTTGAGGATACCAAATTACCAAACTCTTCAAGTTCTATCTCTGTCCATTTTTATTTTTTAATGAACTTATTCATTCCTTTTTAAGTGTTTAGTCACGTAGTGATGGTCTGAAGTTTATGTTTACGTTCTTCAGTTTCCACTGTTGTCCAAATGTTTGCGCCTGCAAAGGCTATGCTCAGAGGGTTCTGATTCTCATCACAACCAAATAGTACAACTCCCTGAATTTCCTGGTGGGGTGGAAGCATTTGAGCTGTGTGCCAAGTTCTGCTATGGCATAACCATCACTCTCAGTGCTTACAACATTGTAACTGCGCGTTGCGCCGCGGAATACTTGCAGATGACTGAGGATGTTGAGAAAGGGAATTTGATTTACAAGCTTAATGTTTTCTTTAATTCTTGCATCCTTAATGGCTGGAAGGATTCCATCGTGACTCTACAAACCACCAAAGCATTGCCTCTGTGGTCAGAGGACTTGGCAATTACCAGCAGATGCATTGAGGCCATTGCCTCAAAGGTTTTAAGCCACCCCTCAAAGGTGAGTTTGTCACATAGTCATTCCCGGAGGGTAAGGGATGATGTGTCTTCTTGCAATGGAACCGAAAGTCTGAGACACAAACCAGCAAGCAAGGGATGGTGGGCTGAGGATTTAGCAGATTTGAGCATAGACCTGTATTGGAGAACCATGATAGCTATCAAATCTGGTGGCAAGACACCCTCAAATCTCATTGGTGACGCATTGAAGATTTATGCATCGAGATGGCTACCAAATATCAGGAAGAATGTGCATGTCAAGAGGGAGACTGAATCTGACTCGGATTCAGATTCTGCGAGTGAAGTAACTTCGAAGCATAGACTGCTTTTGGAATCAATTGTGAGCTTGCTTCCAGCGGAAAAAGGTTCTGTTTCTTGCAGCTTCCTTCTTAAACTATTAAAGGCAGCCAATATTCTCAAAGCCTCGGCTTCTTCAAAGGTGGAATTGGCCACAAGAGTAGGACTTCAATTGGAGGAAGCCTCGGTTAATGATCTTCTAATACGTTCAGTGTCTAAGACAAATAATATGATGTACGAAGTGGACTTGGTGATGACCATATTGGAACAATTTATGTTGCAAGGTCAGAGTCCCCCAACAAGCCCTCCAAGATCAAGGTTGATCATCGAAAGGAGAAGGTCTCGTTCGGCAGAGAACGTTAACTTCGAGTTCCAAGAGAGTAGGAGGTCCTCCTCAGCTTCTCATAGCTCAAAACTGAAGGTGGCAAAGCTAGTGGATAGGTACCTTCAGGAGGTTGCCAGGGATGTACATTTGCCTCTGTCAAAATTCATTGCTCTTGCTGAAACTATACCAGATTTTGCGAGACATGATCATGATGACCTGTACAGAGCTGTTGACATTTATCTCAAGGTAAATTTTTGGAAAAGAATTTCAATTGTGTTTTCAGAATTACTGCTTTCTGTACATGGTAGAAATAAATAATGACCAAGAAGGGACTCCGCTTGAAGTTTAATATGTTTCAGAGGTAGGACAGAATTGGTGGATAAACAACTCGACCTTGAAATCTTGTCTCACCCATCATTTTTTCGTGGTTTAGGTGTAGGGTGACCCACCAGAAATTTGGCCTGAATGTGGCCACTTTCTGACTAATACAAGCAGTTTCCAATACCTGTTCTGGCAGTTAGTCATTTCACTTGGTTAGAACGAGAAAGATAAGGTTGCCAGGGAAAACTATGAAAGAACTTTTTTGTTTCTTTTGCACACAAGAGTTTTGTTTTATTGCTACTAGTTTGTTTTTGTTTTTTTTAGCACCAAGTTTGAACTTAGTATGTAGTACAAAATATATAAAACCTCCCCACCAGACTTATATTAGTGAGTTTTTATTTATTCATGTTAGATAGAGATTTAAAGAAAAGGTGATAAATAATGTTATCTAGTCCTTCACATTATTGATTGTGTGTTCTCATGATATATGTGTTCATTCCAATAAGCTAAAATTTTACAAGAAAGGAACTCCTTTATGATGTAATATATATGTATGGCAGTGGAAGAAAGAAATCCAAGAAACACATGAAAATTCCTGGATTCATTTGGATGCCTTATTAGTATGACTAAAATGTCTATATTGTTTAACTGGAACATGTAGGCACATCCAGAACTGAATAAGAGCGAAAGAAAAAGACTATGTCGAATTCTAGACTGCAAAAGGTTGTCTATGGAAGCTTGCATGCATGCAGCACAGAATGAGCTACTTCCCCTCAGGGTGGTTGTCCAAGTTCTTTTCTTTGAGCAAGCACGAGCAGCAGCTGCCGGTGGCAAAGTGACTGACATGCCAAGCAACATCAAGGCAATACTCACTGCTCATGGCATTGATCCATCGAAACACACAGCACCATTGAGCACCACAACAAGCGTACATGCCGATGACAACTGGAGCGTTTCTGGATTCAAGTCTCCAAAGTCAACTAGGAACCCAACTCTCAGAATGAAGCTAGCTGAGGATGACTTGGATGAAAATGTTGTGCCTCGTGATGAAATTGGGAGACCTTCTAGATTTAAGGGTCTACTTGCTCTTCCAACTCAACCCAAACGCATGTTTAGTAAGTTGTGGGCTATCAACAGAACTGCCACTGAAAAGAATTAAGCAAATTTTTTCCATTTTTCACGATGGGGATGGGAAATTTAGGGGGTAACATATACTATATATATATATTTTTTTTTTTCTTTTGCAAAAAATGTCTTGTAAGTTATATAACATGTAGGGAAAATCAATGAAAATGTGCATTGTTCGTGTAACAACCTATAATAATAAGAAATGAGATTTTTCACATGAGGGGAAATCTATTTGGTATATCTGGCAGAGGAATCTTCGGTGTAAGTGACGAATTGTAGGGCCAATGGTGCGAGTGTCCACGATTACGGAGCACGTGGCTATGTTCATCTTGGTGGTTCACTTCAAGGGGTCCTGATTTTGATGATAAGAATAATTATTGGCATTTTGATGTTTCTAACATAAAGCAATTAATACTGTAATATCAGATTATGTTCCTCACATCTATTTGTATCCACCACGCGGATAATCTCGTCCTATTTGAATTGATATCCTATCGTATTTTGGATAGGATTTGTAGGAAATAATTAAGGTTCGACATTTGGTGTTTTGTTAGCAGAAATTTGTCATTAATGTGTCGTGCGGTGGAACAATCTAGTGTGTTAGTATGGTTAACAAAATGATGTGCAATCTATAGCCGACCAAAAAGTAGCACAAATAAACAAGAAAGAATAAGATCCAGCATCGGTAAGATATGTTTGCTTCCAAGTGGTATTATTGAAACAACGACAACTGTTGAACTAAATACCACTTGTGTGTTTATGCCCATGAATCAGCGTTGTTCCATTCCTCCATAAACCTCCATGTATCTATATTTACTATTCTAAACAAAAAAATCAAGAAGAGTAAAAGATGGGTATTCCATTTAAAGCCAGACCTTTTGAGCATTACTGAGAAATATGTCTAACAATTTTTTAGGCCCTGAAATCATATCAGCTAATGAATGAGTTGACTTGTCATTTGCGGTAGATCTTTTCGATGCAAGTCACTTTCAACCTCCTTTATTCTCAGATTTCTAACTCTTATCTGTAATTTGGATTTTGTAGGATTGATGGGATGATTTATGTCCCTAGAGAACTAACTAGTTAGTTCAATCTCACAAACTGAGAAGGACTTCTCACTGTTATGGAGGCGGTGAAAGAATCATACTTTTTTAGTTTCAAAAAAGTCATAAAGCATATGGGAATCATATAGTGGCGGACTGGTTGTGGTGGTCATCATCATTGTTGCAATCATGATCACTAGTCATCATAGTTTCTTTGACCTTGACTAACTATTTTAAGAGCATGCCTACATGAATATTCCTGACACCAATCACTGACACTACCAGGTATGATTAGTATTAACAAATATTTTGGTACTAGTTACTTGACCCATTACTGTATACATATACATTCCTTTTGATTTTGTTTGCTTCTTCTCTGCCTCAAACTACTAGTCATTTGTCAAGAAGTTGGGTGAATGGGAATGTGCCCTCTTAATTCTTAGTGGATCAAGTTTATTGAAGGAATTAAATGACGTGGAAACTTACTTATTTCTGAACATGTTTGCCAAAATATACTACCCATGTAACACCTCAACACCAATATTGTGTCTGTACAAGTAATTGAATATTTTACTGGTTACTAAATTAATCACCTGCAATTGACAAGTTAAGGGTGTTAATTTTAAGTGTATCTGAGTTGTTCCAGTCTTAATAACACCGGGCCATTTGGGTAAATCTATTTTGTGCTTCTCATCTTTAGGCCATGTTGGTGTATGTGCTTGTTTCATTGATTCATAATAATGTATCTTCTATCTTCTATGTAGTTACAACTCAAAATTCAATCAGATTTAGTTATACATCATCACGATGTCAGGGAAAAGTTATGTTGCTATACTTGGCTTCACGTTTAATCTCATAATTGATTACATCTGTTACGTGTCCATATATCATATTTTTGTACTCATGATTTTTAATTGTGTCCATAACTTCATGTACCTGTGATGTTTTGCTATGTAGATTCTCTGGGAACCGAAGACCATTACAAATCATCTCATCGACAGAAAAAAAGCTGAAAAAAGTTGGAAAAAAAACCAAGCAGGAACGAAAATGATCCCAAATTGTTCACATGATATTCAAAAAGAGTAAAATGATATATTTTCATGACATACATCTTTACATTTCACGATCATAGATAGATAGGGTAGCAAATACATGACTCGGGTAAACACAAACAAGTTATTAGACATATAGCAGCTTAATAGTATTTAACATTGGATTCAGCAGAAGATCACTGAAGTGGATCCTTGTTGGCATCAGCAACAGCATCAACGATGGAAGCCTGAATTGTAGCTGCTTCTGATTCCATGCTTTTGGTCCTCTGAAGACTAGGGGTGCGATGAAGCCTGCAACGAAAGGAACCAGCGTGTGTGGTTGGAGAACATAGACAATTCGTCTTGGTCATACTAGGTTGTCTCTGAAGGCCACCTTGTCCTAAATTAGGAGCCCCTTGAAGATCCACCCCAGCACCTGACACGACCTCACTCCTAGATGATGCCATTTGAACTTTCATGTCCTTGATTGTCACCTGGTCGCTTTCCATGCTCTTCAATTTCCTGCACTAACTAACATAAAAATAGTAACATTCGTTAATGGTGACAGTTCCAATTATTAAGATAAGATGTAGCCATGGAAAGTATTTGGAGACCAAACCTTACGAAGGGTCTTGGAGAGATTAATTGAGAACCAAGTTTGAGGAAGAACTTTCTCGAAAGAGATCAAGAGAAAACTAGAAAAGTTGATATGCATAATAAGAGGTGTGCTATGTGATATAAAACATGGATCAATATGCAACACAGAAGTTGGCGTGCTTTTTGGTTTTTATGTCACGGGTTTGTTAATTAATTCAATTAACGCCCCCACCTACATTTTGATCTCTTTAGGATTGGGTACAGTATATGTGCTTCAACCACTGGCAACATGAAATCATGTAAGACAGAGCCACCTTCATGGAGTTTGCCTCATCTTTTTCTCTCTTTATGGTGGAGTTCCATTGAATGGTGACGCGAAATTAGAGACTCAAACAATGAAGACCAGTGCTTTTTGGTCCCACACATGATGGCAGACATTCGAGTGGGTGTGAATTAGCTTAGCTTTGGTGTGGGTCTCAACTTGCATTTTAGTATGTATGCATAACTTGATGGATAAGATGCACTGTCACTACAATATCTCATTATATAATGTTTGCAATGAAGACAAATAACAACAGTTTTTCCACTAAAGGGTTATAATTGGTATTGCACAAAAACTAGGCTTCCCCTCCATAAATTCTTCTGCCACACTTTTTTAACATTATCTTTTTATACTTTAATTACTTGCTAAGAAATTAATAACATTTATTAGAATTTATATGAAATCACGTTTTAAGTATCACCAACAATTTCCTCTTTCATATTGAATTTAATATCTTTTAAGATATCGATTTTCTCATAGATGAGAAAAATATAATTGAAATGAATGATTTTAAATTTTTTTATTGGAAACTATAATTTTGTATGGATTTTCTTTCGTGTTAATTGATTTTTATGTAGGGGTGATTAAACCAACCTACTCATATCATATTGTTGAGTATAACAAATCACCAAAATTGGGCTGGTATTATACCATTACCATGCTAAATTGAAGTAGCTCTTCAACAAAAAATTTAAGCTCGAATATTAATCTTTAACATATTCAAAAGAGAAGAAAAAGGGTAAAAGCTATTAGTAACTCATCATTCAAGGAACTCTCAATACCTTCAAAGAATTTAAACTTTGTTTTGTTGGTAACCGCTTGGATACAGAGGGATAGTTTTCAAAAAATTTCATTAATTTTTTATTTATCAATGATATTGAGATACTATTATCAATGATTATTTTTTTTTTCTTAAAAAAAAACCTCCAAAAAGATAATAACTGAAAAGGATGAGTGAAGTACAAAAGAGGAGTGAAAAAATCCATAACACTTTGAAAAACTTACATACATACATATATATATATATATATATATATATATATATATATATATATATATATATATATATATATTAAAATACATTGATAATAATTATAATTCAAAATAATAAAAAATAAAAAATTATTTTTTATGTTAAATAATGATGAGAGATGTTAAAAATATTGTATATACGGACATGAAGACCCTATCATCTATTATCTCTATTTAATCTAATTATATTTTTTGGTGAATTAAATTAAGTTTTGTTGAATATTTTTAATTAAAGATGGGCCTCGTAGACCCGAAAAGAGTAATAGTGGGCCTTTGCGTGCTTATTACGTGGTTCTTGTTTTCATGACCCACTAAGTTTTTTTCCGTCACATCTCTTCCTTTAAAAATATTAAAAAATAGCATGTTATTATTATATCTTTTAATATTCAAATATTTGACACATGCCTAAAATTTCTTCATCTTCACTTATAATAATTTTTTTTCAATTTATGGGTCTCACTTTCATATGACATTCTTCTTTGTCAAGTAATAACATGTTTGTACTCATGATTTTGCTCTCCTATCAGCACGAATATAAGTGAAAAAAAAATAAGTTAATTTATCCCATAAAAATAGGGTAGATTTACCCATCATAATCATGATAGTTATAAATTTTAATTTATATATTCGTGAATATTTTTTATGTATATTTTTAAAATATTTTATTTTTTAAAATTTAATTATAATATATTATTAATAATAGATTAATATTTATAAGTTAAGTTATAATATAAAATATTGAAACTATCAAGTCGACATGAATTGTTGACCGACCCAGTCCAAAGCATAAATATTTCAAACGTGAAACTACCGTGATATACAATTAATAAACACAAGGGACTTTGTTAATTTTTAAAAAAAATCAACAATGTAGGTTACAATTAAAATATGATACTCTTGAAATAGGTATAATGGGTCGCATCACATTAAGTATCTGCAAAACATGCTCATCTACCTTTTCATCACTTTTTCTCTGCCATTTGTAAATGGGTGGAACACGAAGTTAACACCTGTTTTGCGTTCATAGTCTCAAATCACGAACCAATGAATTGAATGATGTTACTTCGACATGCTAGTTCTTTCTTTCAGACTGTATTTAGATTATGTTTTTGTTCTTTCTGGTATGCAATCAACTCTTCGAAATCCGCCATGCTTAAATGTTTTTATTTGTTTGAAGTTAAAGAAAATTGTGGGTCATTCTATCCTAAGCTTCATTTTCTATGTAATAATTTATTTTATTCTTTATTCTTAATTTTAAATCATGTGTATGATAAATAGAATATGATTACTTAATATTACGTCAGAATTAAATTTAGTGATTAAAAATTAGACTTTTATTTGAATGGTTAGTTTATTTTTGTTTTTGCAATAATCAAATCTGTCTCTCTCTCTCTGCATTGCATGTACATATGTATTTTAAAGTGGCTAGTGATACATTCAGTAGGGTACGTGTATGACAGAAAAAATTTTTGAAGTGACAAGTATGAGCGGGAAAAACTAGCAGAAGGTGCACACGGACAAGAAAAAGCAGAGGTACATGGGGATAGTATACTATATGAGTCATACCAGTCTCTTCTCAAAGATACACTTGGTTTTATAGACTGAAGAAGATCAAAACCAAATATTCCATGTCTCTTGATATATCTCAGAAAGTTAAAAAAAATATATAAAGTTCATGATTCTTTACACAGTGGTGTTTGAGATCAAATAACCTAAGCTCTCAGCATTCAGATTCCAATGAGTGACAGGTGGTCACAACACTAGATTAAATTTCATTCGTGTATATGTAGGTCTGCATAGCTAGTCGTCCACTTACGAGGAGACAACGAAACAAGGAAGGAGCCATGCATGTTAATAAATGTAATTTATTTGGGAAAAGGAACCTTTTGAGGAAAAGAAAATCAAATGCTCTACAACTACAAGACTAGTACTAAGGAAGTAGAGTGTAATGCAAGTTCATGGGATCACACATAAACATAAAACATAAAGATAATGGAAGGGTATGGGTGAGGATTAGAGACAAAATGAGGGGTGTGGAGGCAGAGAGCGCAGTGATAGGACGACCACGCGTTGCACAAAGCAGTGAGGACCGAAACAGAGAAGGGACTTGTTGGTGATGGGTTGGCGGCAGAATGCTGAGGCTGAAAATCAGAGGTAGGATGGTTTAGAGTGGTAGGGTTTGCCTGGGTATTTTTGGATCTCGAAGAGGTATAGGGTAAGTACAAAAGCTTAAAAACAACACAACACAAACCCTGACCCACACACTCTTCCACCTTGAACCGTTAAGCTATTACCATCCCTATTTTTATCTGTTTCTGTGCTTCCTCATTATAACTCTTCATTCTCACTGCTAATTGCCACTACTATCACTTTCTTTTCATATCAACAACTTCTTCAGTTACTTTCCTAAACAAAATAATTACTTTTATACTAATTAAAATAACTTTAATGACATGTTTGGTTGAGTGGAGAGGGACAAAAAATTGGGATGAAGGAGAATTAATGTAATTTATATCTGGTGAAAAGAAAATAAAAAATTGTGAAACACATTTTATTATTTATTCATTTAGTTATTTCTTTTCTATTTACAATTAAATTATAATAATTTTTTATTTTGATCATATTTTTACTATATTATATAACTAAACATCCAATTTTATTTATTACTTATTTTTCTTTTATCAACTTACTCCTTCTCTGTCTTCATTTTTTTTTCTTTTTTAAAAATGAGAATTTTTTTTATATTTGAATTTAAAGATAATAAAATAGTATATAAATCAATTTTAACACATTGTTATAATATAAATTTAACTCTAAATTCTTGCATTGGGTAAATAAGAATAAATTTAATAACATATAAGTTAGATGACAAATATAATATAAGAGGTCTAATTTGCCTATAAATAATTAAGTAAGATGAGATGAAGAATAATCTTATTAAAAATGTATTTCTTCCCTTGAAATATAATTTTATTTTAATTCATTCATCTCTAGTATTATTTAATCTTTAGATTATATGAACAATGTGATGATAATTTACTATTATACTTCTTCTTTCTGGACATTATTAGTGTTCGTGCAATATTAATGAGATGTCCTCTACAAGAACATTGCCAACTGATATAACCTACGTGTTCCGTGATTTTATTTTGTTTATTGTACTATAATTAATATTTCTATTGTAATAAAATATTATTTCATGTCATTAGAATATTAATTAATAAAATATACATGTTCTTTTAAAATAATTTAAATATAAGATAAATTTTAGTAGTGTATTTTTCTTTAATACAACGAAAAATTGTGTTAAATTAATTATTAATAAGTGAAACAGCATGCTGCACTATATGTGTTCAATTTTTTTTACACATTAAAACAATATGCATTAAAAAATAATTTTATATAAAAAATTAAAATATTATGAGTAAAGATAAAAATTTTCAAAAAAAAGTTATATCAATAATTACAAAAATAAATATCTTTCTTATTTTTTTATTTAAAATTCAAATATTCTGACAGTTTTTAAGTAAGAGTGAATGGTTTTATGTGGTTAATATCAAAGTTTTATAATTGAAAAAATAAATAAATATAAAATTTTAAAATAAAGATCCATATATAAAAAAAATATTATTTTTATATATTTATAATTAAAAACCATATACTTAAATTTAAAGTTATAGAATATTAAATTTATTTATTTTTAATAATCATATAATTATAAAATAAATATAAATGTCTGAAAAGATATATACAAAATTATATTAATGATAAAAACAATTAACACATAATAAAAAAAATATTTTATATTTTTTATAAAATAATTATTCTCTTATACTTTTTAAAACTAAAGATCAAGTTGTAATATAATAAAAATAGTTATCTCAACCTAAGATAAAAATCATAAGAAAATAAATAAATAAAAAGTATTTATAATAAGAGTATAAACTCGTAAGAAAATACACTACTAGAAACCAATTTTTTTCTGCTAGTAAAAAATTGTTTAAATTTATAGAAAAATTTATTTCTTGTAATTTTTGTAAGAATTTACAAAAGTATTCCCATAAAAAATGAGAATTTTTAGTAG